CGGGACTTCTCAGTGTCTATGAATTGATAAGAATACAGAACAAAAAAGATGTCTTAAAAACGTAAATACGAGGATTTAAGGCGAAAAGTTACTTTGAATTCGAAGTTTATCTCTCTGATCATTCAGATGCGCCCTCGACGATCAAGTAATGCCATGAACTTAGCAATTTCAGCGGCCTTCAGTACTGGTTTGTTTGAGAATACATGAGAAGATGTTTCCATCTGTGATTGATTGGCTTCCCTAAGTAACCGATTGAAAAAAAGAGTTAAACGAGTAAATGGCAGCCACATTAGATATCAAAGGGGCCTTCAGCGGTTGACGCATAGTCTGTAAACATGAACAGTTCTGGCGATTTACATATAGAAGAAAATAAAATATTATGAAGGCCTCATCTATGAAATCCCGTGACTTCCAAACCCCCATACTTTAACATGCTGTCTTCTTGTTTCAGAACTGTCAGAGTACCGTATCCGTAGCCTGCTTGGCCAACGATTTAGTTTTGTCAAAGTTCGTGCAAGGGACTCGCACGGAAACCCTTGCTACGCACAGGTAAATATTCAAGAAAGTAGTTCATATGTCGTAATTATATGAAGCACCGTATTTGTTGGGTAGCCAGCCGTCCGCGCTCATCATAAACTCATTATAAACTCTGGATTGGTGATCCAAAGAAGTTCGAATAAATGGTAAAGGGAGAAATTTAAAAACAGAGTAAATGAAATTAATAACGTAATAATTATAATAGTTCTGGGGTATGCAAGTCAAGTAAGGAGTGTTTGCATGCTTGTGTTAATTATAAGTTTTCGAGCTTAAGGCTGGTTTTAAAGATCAATTTTCACTAATACAGGGAGGCATTACTACAAAACGCGTTTCACAAATCTTATAAAATACCGTACTAGTGCAAATCATGGCAAATACATAATGTAATATTCCACAATATGTATGACCCATTAGGGCTACAAACCCCTGGGGATTTATAACCAAGGAATAACGGCATTATATATCAAGTGCCTGAGTTTTTGTGATTAGTTGGTATGATGGATGACCTAACGATTACTGGACTTCACGAGATCTTCACAGAATTAACTGGGCAGTGCACAGTTAGTTGATATGTGCATATTTGCACCTGCCACTGGGTCAAGACTAGCCTCTTTTTACAATGATATATATCTTTCCAAGTCGCTTTTGTTGTTTTTACAAAAGCGACTTGGAAAGATATACATCCTTGTAAATACAAAATATGTCAATTAACGCAAAAATAATTGAGGTTTTTATGCCCTGAACGAACCTACGATTAGCGGCCTGTTGAGGGGCGGAGGAAAGGCAGGTGAGGGGGGGGGGGGGGGGGGGG